CATAATTAAATATAATTACAGTCAAAGTTGTGCGTTGACAAATGTGAATGTCAAATTGTTGCAAGAATTAAAGAACGGAGGATAGTACGTAGTAAGACTATTTCCTATTTAACCCTTTATTTGTAATTTAATGTGGAGTATAAATTTTGAAATAGTACGGAGTAATGATCAGGTCAGGTTTAAGTAGTCCGGCCAATTATTTAAAAAAAAAAGGATGACACCACATCCCTAAGGGTCCCCCAGCACCGACCGGACAGCTAGCTGGGAGGATGTAAATTGAACTTTGATCTCACTCTAATGGAAAGAGAATGGGGCTCCATCCCAAGTCATTGCTTGGAGTTGAACCCGGGACCTCTCCCTTGTGGCCCTCCCTTCCTACCAGGTGAGCTATGCCCTCTGGTCAACCAATTATCTTCTATTTGTCCTAGTGAGCATACAAACTCTATTATTTTGCATGTAGACTTATATTTATTCCTCATAGCATTCTACCATTTATTTCTCATCTTGTGGTAGTATTTTGCATGTAAATTATTCACTTTCGAAAATGAATAAATGGATTTAAATCCATCGCTTGCAAAAAACATTGGTTTAGTTATTGTGTCAGTGTTTGGGATGTCGTTTTTCCCTTTAATTCCTGAACTCATTTCCAATCAAGAATATTAGCTGATACATTTTGTCATCATTTTTATATTAGCTAAAGTCATTTCTACTCTTACAAAAGTCTACATATGTATTTCAATTGATAGAAGTCATGTGTTTTTCAAAACTCAATCATTTAAAAACAGGGGCGGACCCAGGAAATTGATATTGGGGGGCGATAATTTAAACAAAAAAAATCTAGGCGATTATTATTATAAGTTATAACCTTAATATAATACGGAGTAGTAATTAAATGAAACATTATAATAGAAGAAGAGACAAATATATTATTACAAAATAGTTAAAGTTAGTACCTTAGAATTGTACCCAACGCTTCTTCAACGAGATAAATTCCTCAATCACGGCTTTATAGTCAAAAGTTTTAGCAATTTCTCTTTTAATATAAACAATAAGGTTGTCTGCAACATACTCATCCTCCATTTTATTGCGAAGCCTTGTTTTTATAATTTTCATTGCGGAAAAAGTCCTTTCGGTTGTTGTTGTCGAAACCGGTAGAGTCAACAAAAGTAGGATCAAATTATCAACAAGCTAAGAAAGTACACTTTTGACATCTCCGTCTCCGCTAATCTTTGACAAAGTTCACCCATTGTAGAAAAATTCGCCAACTTTGGATGGTTTAGAACATTGAACTTATAATGTTGCAATTGAAACCTCAAGCTCACCTTCTCCTGCTCAATAAAATCAAAGGGGTAATATTTATCCACTAAAGAACAGATATCATCAATGTTAAAAGACTTATATGAGTCCTTAGGATCCAAAGCACCACTAAGAGTAAGAAGATCCATTATCTGTTCACCGAATCTGCTATTCAGCTCCAACAATTATGAATCTATGGCTGCGTAAAACATATCAACCCGATAGTGACGTTCAATATCAAACCCTTCTTGATCATGGCGTTTGCATTTTACCGCATAAGGAGACTTCATATTAGGAACTTCAATTTCATGCTTTGTGCAAAACTCTTTAACAATTTCTAAGAAGTTATCCCATCCACCATCCCTTAACTTTTGGATCAACATTTTGGTGCTTGACACCAAATGCATAGCATTTACTATGTCTTGGCACTTCTTCTGTATATGCTGACATAGAAGATCTGCAATGCCCATAATTTCTTTAATAAGATGCAACAAGAAAACAAAATTAAAAGATTTAATCTTCTTAAGTTCTCTAGCTGCATTTCCACGAGTAGAATATTTATTGCCATTCTCTTCAAAATCTTCTAAAACAGAACAAGTTGCAGCAAACATCCTAATCAAACTGCAAACAGAATTGAAATGTGAGCTCCAACGAGTTTCCCCAGCTTGTTGTAATGTACCAACCTAATTAAGTCCTCTGTTTGTTTCAAGCTCACCAATTTCCAACATTCTTGCAATTTCAAGTGCTTGAGCTTCCTTTAATTCATCACTTCGTTTGCAAGAAGAATTAGTCACATTAATAATAAAGAATGAATCGATGAAAAAATTGTGCACATATTTCACCTCTCTAGAAGCAGCAACCAATGCTAATTGCAACTGATGTGCTAAGCAATAAACATAGTAGGCATAAGGACAATCATTTAAAAATAATCGATCTTTCCGTTTCTTTCTTCTAGGTGCGCATGTTTTTCATTAGTTTGGTCTGGGCGGTGGGCTGGGATTAGATTTTGGGGTGGGTTAATGGGGAATAAATTTTGGAGTGAGTTGATATAATATTACTTGTAAAATTTCTATTTTTTTAGGCTCTTAAACAATTGGGTTTCTGCGAGTGGGCTATGCTTTGGAGGAGAAAATATTTTTGGGGGGGTTCAAAATTTTTCTTGGAGGGGCGAGAATTAAATGTTGGGGGGTAAAAATAAAAATTTTGTATATATATATACTAAAAAAAAAATTGTTGGGGGGGCGGCAGCCCCCCTGGGTCTGTACTACGGTCCGCCCCTGTTTAAAAAGAATCTACCAAAATTCATAAGAGCATGTGATCGTCGAACTTAATAGGAGTTGGGGAAGATTTGGAATTTAGGATAAAAGAAAATGATTTTTTCCTTTTTTTGAACTCCAACTGACAGATATATTAATTCATCAAATCATTTGCCAACAGGCTTACAATAGAATCAGGAATACTATTATACCAACAGAACTGATCCGAGATAGGCACATGTGCTCTTGCTAAAGCATGGGCAACACGATTCGCGGATCGTTTACAATAAGAGACTAAAATTACTCTTATCTTGCAGCAAATGCCTGATATCACCCAGAATAAGGAAAAGGTAAGAAGAACCTCCTTCATTTTTTAAGGCATAGACCACCGAGAGAGCATCAGTTTCCACCTCTACATGCGACCAGCCTGCCGCATCCGCTCCCATCAACGCATCCCGAACACCATAGCTTCTATTTCCACCACTGACCAGCTATCTGCTTCGGAGACCCCTTTCACCTTCAAGAAATTGTCATAATGATCCCGTGCCACCCATCCCCAGGCCCTAGTATGTGTACTTTCATCCACCGCCCCATCCACATTAATTTTTACAACACCCTCTCACGGACGCTTCCAAACTGTCAAGGAATTATTCGAAAATTTTGGATATATCTTAGGGGAAATGGAAATTAATAATCCAACCTTTTAGCGGTCTTCTTACAATAGTCACACCTTATCGTTATTCATTAATAGTCCAACCTTTGTACCCCATCTTCATTCGCTGGTCCCTGACCGATTCATGACCTGCTATTCCAGGTTTTTTCATTTTCTTTGCAAATCATTCAACAATAAATCTCACCTTTCACAAATCTTCTCCAAGCGGTCCCACATATCAATTTTCTTTTTTCTTCCTAAAAATTTTCCCTTTTTATTTTTATCGTCTTGACTCTTTTATTCCCTTTTGGGTCTTCTTATTCTTATTTTTATTACTTTTCAAGTTTTGTTTTTGTTTTTTCAATGTTTATGTATTAAACTTTTCCTTCTTTATCTTCTTCCCGTTTATTATTTCATTTTCTTTTTTATATATTTTTCGGATTAGTTTCCTTATAAAAGATCTTTTTTTCGCCATACCAACTTCTTTACTTTATTTTCTTTTTACTTACACTTATTTATTTCCTTTTTCCTTTTCTTACCTTTATTCTACCACTAATAGATTTTTGAGAAAATATCCCCAAAATAAGACTAAACTAATCCCTAATTGAAAAAATAAGACTAAGTTATTTATCTTTCCAAAATAGGACTAAAATACCGTCTATCTTCTTATTCTACATTTCTACTCTTTCCATAACTTAATAGGATAATCATATTTTACATTATATTTTAAAAAAAATTAACAAAAGGTATTTCAATTTATAAAATATAGTAACAAAATAAGAAGAAAGTTATAACAATTTATAAAATATAGTAACAAAAATATAGTTAGAATATGATTATCCTATTAAGTTATTGTAATGGTAGAAATGTAGAATAAGAAGATAGACGGTACTTTAGTCCTATTTTAGGAAGATAAATAACATAATCCTATTTGTGCATTTAGGGATGAGTTTAGTTCTATTTTGGGGCTATTTTCTCAAAAATCTATTAGTGGTAGAATAAAGGTAAGAAAAGGAAAAAGGAAATAAATAAGTGTAAGTAAAAAGAAAATAAAGTAAAGAAGTTGGTATGGCGAAAAAAAGATCTTTTATAAGGAAACTAATCCAAAAATATATAAAAGTGAGAATGAAATAATAAACGGGAAGAAGATAAAGAAGGAAAAATGTAATACATAAACATTGAAAAAAAAACAAAAAAAAAAACTTGAAAAGTAATAAAAATAAGAATTAGAAGACCCAAAAGGGAATAAAAGAGTCAAGACGATAAAAATAAAAAAGGAAAATTTTTAGGAAGAAAAAAGAAAATTGATACGTGGGACCGCTTGGAGAAGATTTGTGAAAGGTAAGATTTATTATTGAATGATTTGCAAAGAATATTAATGAATAACGATAAGGCGAGACTATTGAAAGAAGAACGCTAAAAGGTCGGATTATTAATTTCAATTTTGCCCATCTCTTATACAGTTTTTTAAGTCTTTCAGGTCCGCTAACAAAGCTGTAGTATTAACAATATTGTTATACAGTTATCACCACCCCTTTTTATGTATTCCCCCATGTTCTTGAAAACATGATTTATCTAATACTGCACATGAAATTATTCATTTTCAACAAGATTCAGGAGTCAGTCAGTTTACTCAACATCCTACTAACAAAAAAGTACCACCTCAATCATCAGCTTAGTATCAATTATCAGGATTCATTCTAACTCCCAGGCCAACAGCTCATCTTCAATAACCAGTTCCTGCTCAGAACATAAAAGTACTACAGACACCAAAAATTGATCAAATCAAGCTTGTGTTGACAATATAAAAGTACAGCTTCCATTTCAAAAGCATTTGCAGCATATTCATATCCTTCAAGCCCAACACAAAGTTTGCTGTGTCGAAACGAAAACACAAGGAACTAAAAATAAGAACCACAACTCTAGGAAACCCCATCTTTATAATGAAAAGCAGTTACATAAAGGGTTTATCATAGGTTTTTGAAACATTTTGGTAACAAACTAATCCTACTTGTACATATAACCCATGCATCATAAGTTTCAAAGATACATCTATTATAGTCTAAGATGAAGAGAAACAACAACCCTCTACTTGCACTATTCTCTGCCATATGCAAACTCCTCAAAACAGGGAGAACCGTCCAAACAAAGTATTACTTTGAGTATTAGCAACCTATTGATTAACAATTTCTTAAATCCTGCAAACTAATCGTCAAAGCCCTCTGGTGGCCACCACCTAGGCTTAGGGAAATCCCAACCTCGACTGATGGCAGTCTCCAATAAACTGGCACCATTGCCCTCTTTACCCTCACCGTCTACCTTCTCTAATAGCATCTCCAAAACCTCCATAAGGTCTTTGGGTGATGATGATGGTTCATTCATCAAATTTCCTCTAACTGTTTCCTCTCCCAATCTTACAAACTTTTCTCCACCCTTTACTGAAAATGGAAGTTTACGCCCTCCCTCTGTGCTGCATTTCACTTTTCCCTTTTCAACGTTATCATGCGTGTCATTATCTTTATTCATCAAATTTCCTCCAACCGTTTTCTCTCCCAATCTTACAAGCTTTTCTCCACCATTGACTGAAAATGGAAGATTATGCCCTCCCTCTATGCTGCATTTCCCTTTTCCCTTTTCAACTTTATCATTCGTGCCACCATTTCCTGCTTCTTTACGCACTAAATCAGCATCAACAGTATCATCATCCCGAACTTCGGCTGCACTTGGTTGTGTTTCAAATACAGACAGTGTTGAACTCCCAACCCCCAAATACTCTCCTGAAACCCTAACTCTCTTAGAGGGATACTCATCATTATCTCCATCTTCAAAATTACACACACGGAACCCACTTTTGTGACTCCCCTTAGCACAATGAGAACCCTCTGGGGCGTAAAGCTCGCAGTTAACATCAAGGGGCTCCAAGAACCCAAGGTCATCACTTTCCTTCCCTAAATCAACAGTTGTCTGGTGTTCGATACCTTCTTCGTCAGAGTCAGGGGCACGCTTATCCCAAGGAGAGTCCGATTGGGAGCAGAGAGCTGCGGAAGCCGTCGGCGGTCTGACCTCTTCGGATCCGAAGAGATAGGGCTGGGACATAGAATTGCCCTGCTCGGGAAGAGTTTCGAACCCTTCGCTTTCCGAAAAGGGTATTTCCTCATCTGAACCGTTTTCGGGAAGTGAGACCATGGTGATTGGGGTGAGTTCCGGCGAAGTAGGCGCCGGAGACGATGAATTCGAGCCGGAGAGCCCTGGGAACACCTCGGATTGTCGGGCGAAAGAGCATGTCCGTAGCTTCTCCTCCTGGCTGGGCGTCGGTATACAGTGGTTGATGAGGAACGAAAATCGGTCTTGCATTTTCTGCGAGCATACGAAGAAAGATCCTAAATTGAATGGCATCCATTTATTCGCTCTGGAAATCATTCCCGCCTCGTTTTGAGACTCGTATGGTATCGGAATTCATGGTTTAACAAGGCGGAAGATGAATGCCTAGAAGGCAAGAACGATGTCGTATTATGGCTGAGGACACTAGCGAAACCGGACAGGATTCCGGCCAGTAGCTGGGTCAAGTGCCGAGGAAATTTAAATATGAGGATCATTTCATTTGTTCCAAAAGAGTGAATCTTTCGTTACAAGATTGTGAGAATGATAGCAATTAACTCAATTAAACACAAAAGTTGAACCAATGACGCTGCGCACAAGCAGCCCATTAGTTTGAGTAATAACGTTTAAGATTTTATTGTGCATGTAAGGATATTCTCACTAAAATGAATCAAAACAAGAATTTGATTGGAGAAATCACAACATTGAGGGAGTGTTTGCAACTGCTTCTGCTTAAAAAAAAAAGCACTTTTGGAGAAGTAAGGAAAAAGTGATTGGTAGTAAAAGTTGATAGTGTTTGAGAAAAAAGTGATTTTGAAAAGCAAAAGTTGGTAGTGTTTGGTAAAATAAGTGTTTTTTGTGTAATAGAAAAGGGAAAAGCACTTTTCACACGCAAGCCGAGAAAAAGTAAAAATTGGTAGTGTTTGGTAAATAAGTGCTTTTTAAAGCCAAAAGCAGAGAAGTGCTTTTTTTTAAGCAGTTGCAAACACTCCCTGAGTCCTATATAGCCCCCGTTTGGATAGTATCGATTTGAGCAATCCGTTGATTGTTTTGAATGGTAAAAAGCTGCATTTTGCGGCAATTAGGCCGCAATCCGCCGAAAAACAAACGGGGTCATAGGCTCAAATTTCCAATTTGACTATTATCACATTTACTTGATAATATAGTTTTCCAGTCTAAGTACTTTTAGACTGTACTTATTTATCATTTTTCTCATTCGTTTTGTGAGTTTACGAGACTTTTAAGTGCATTTGATATCTATAATCATCTAGGCAGTACCATTTCGTGCTTTCTAGAATATTTATTATTTATATGAAAACATCACCGATCCATTTAATTGAACGATTACTCGTTGTTATACTCTTTACTCGATTGGGCGGTTATCATTTGGGTAAAACTTATCCATTGGATAACAGACAATTACGAGAAACAAAATTATCCAACGTGACATGTACGATAAGATATGTAATCATCCCCTACTCGACTCAATTTCCGTCTTTTCTAATTTTGTCAGCTTTCCTTTTTCATTAGGAGAAAATAAATAAAATACCCCCAACTAAACCTAGGTATGAGCTCCCCACCATATACTTGTGAATGTTAAAGCAATACCCCCGAAATGTGAAACTTGAGCTAACTGTACCCCAGTGTGAAATTAATCAAGCATAAAAACATCTAGCTGTCATTTTTATTCCATGTAAGCCATGAAATATCTATTTGGGGAAACATTAAAATCCATGCTTCTAGTTAGGGAAAGGCAGAACTGAAATTTCAAAAACTATTTTCCCAGAAGACCGTCGTTCTTGAGCTCACAAAGAACAGAAGAGACGATGACAAAGCTAGCTAAAACAACAAGTTTGCTGCGTGAGAGTCGCGTTTCACAGTAAGTAGATTTGATGTGATTACTTTCGAGCTTGTTGTTCTTATATTAGGGTTATAATTGTAGCGGAATATGGAGGTGAGCCATTTTATTCAAGAAGTGGAAGGGGGTGAAGAGAATGAGTGTGAAACTGTTCAAAGAGAGGATATTTGTAGTGGTTGTTCTTCAAGTGATGAAGAATGGATTGGTAGTAGAAAAAAGCTGAGCTGCTACAATTCGAATTTGCTTGCTGAAAATCAATGTGATGGATTTGAACCATTTTATGATAGTGATAATTCTGAAAATTATTCGCTCACAACAACTAGAAGCGGGGATGAAGGTGAGATTGGTGCGTAGAAGGAGAGTGTTACATACAGAGTTGATAATGATGCTACACTTAAAATGTTAGTATGGAAAGTGGGAATGAAGTTTGCTTCACCTGAAATTTTCAAAAAACAAGTTGTGAGGTATGCTGTAATTGCAGGGTATAGCATTAGGTTTAGTAAAAGTTAAAAGGTGAAGATTGCAGCCAGATGTAAAGAGGGATGTGTCTGGAGAATATACGCTTCTTGGGATGGACTTAAAGAGTCATTCGTTGTGAAGTTTTTGAATCCTAACCATACGTGCAATAGACAAGATTATGAGAATATACATGCTAAACCTAGTTGATCAATCAGTGTATTGCAGATCAGTGTTAGTTGTTTTTTTGTGAAGGTCAATGTTGGTTCTTTTTTTGCAAACTACTGCTACATCTTTTTACACCAGTGCAGGCCAGTATTAGGTGTTTTTTTGCTTATCTGAATAGGCCATTTTTTGTAAAGGTCATGTATTGCTATGTTCTGACTTCTGACAAACTTTATGGTAAGGCAATGAAACCATTTTTTGCTTCATTTTGTTCCTTATTTGTCCTTATGTAGTCAGGTCTGATGTTCTTATTACTCATTTTGTTCCATATACAATTCAATTATATATATTGTTGTATGAGGTTTCTAATAAATTGGATAAGTAGTGAGTGAGTATAAACTGATTGTCATTCTGTGCATCAGTGTTGTCAATATACATGTACGCTAATAAACTGTATGAGGTTTCTTATTACTCATTTGGTTCCATATACAATGCAAGTTTGATAAACTTTGCATGTACGCTAATACAAGCTTGTTAGAATAAAAGAAAAATGTATATTCTGTGGTTTTTCAAGTAACACATACATCCTGAATTTAAGGAGTGATTTGTAGTTGTAACATTACAAATATGCCTAGCATGTGCAAAATACCTGCTATTGCTCCCATCAATTTGATAGTGTTTGCACTCATCACCTTTACTATCACAAGTGGCTTGCTTTGCTTTCACTTCTTCGACTTGTTTCTGACTTTGAGAATTTCAGAGCATTAATAAGAGCATTTATAATAGCTCATGCGTACAATGGGATATTGAGATAGATCGCATGCTAAATTGAGAATGGGATATGAAATGCTAACTAATGTAGTGATAGGAGTTTCCCATTCAGAGGATGGATCAGAACTATGGTGGGATAAGTTGGCTTAGAATTACAACCAAAGCATTTTAGTTAACAAATGTATAGCCTACTGCACTATACTTACATTTTCAGTGAACTGATTCATCTTAGAATAAAAAGAAATATAAAATTTCAGAGCTACACTATACTTAAAACTGTATAAGCTACTGCACTATACTGCACTTTAGTTATATATAGGCTACTATAGTTATATATTGCACTGTAATGCACTTTAGTTATATATATAGGTGGGATCAGAGCTGTACTATAATCAAAAGAAATATATATTTCAGCACTTTAGTTAACAAATGTATAGGCTACTGCACTATACTTGACACTGTCATATACTTACATTTTCAGTTTAATGCATTAACAGTTTAATGCATAAGCTTAACAATGCACTATACTTAAAATTTCAGAACTGATTTCAGGCACTCTACTTTCCAGTTTATGCATAACTAATATAAATTTATTACCTGCAACTAATATCTAACAATGACAAATACATTTCTAAAATGACCATCTCATTCACTTTTTTAACACAAAAAGATCAATTCAAATAAGTAAGTTTATAACTTTATACACTACAAATCAAGAGTTCCAAACCCAACTGGGGACATCCCCTTTACAAAAGAAATCATAAACTAACTAATGAATACACTACTTACAATGAATGAGACAATTACCACAAATACACCAACTAAAACAAATCCAAGTATCCAACAACTACAAATCTAGCTACTACACTTTCAATTTCTATCTTTGATACATATGTTCCGTTTTTCTTCTTCAACTTAGTTTGCAATATCAACAATTTAGTCTTCAATGCCTTCTTCTTCTCTTTAGCTTTTTCCATGTTCAGCTCAATCGTTTTTTCCCTCTTGCCATGACAACTGCATATACCTTTAGCATTCATCCCAACTTTCTCTAGTTGCCAATTCTCCACGTGATGTCATGATTTTTTCCACTGTCAAACTTTAATTGTTTCACCTCCTCAACAAGTTCATCATTCTTCCTTTTCAAACAATTGATAACTTCTATAGCACGGGGGAGTATTACTCTTTGTCAAACCACTCAAAATAGCGACAATAATTGACCTATAAAATTTAACATAGCTAATAAATGAAAACAAATATGAACAATTAACCCACTGCTAAATGAAAATTTAACTCGTACCTTCCAATTAGAACACCTGTGAAATCTCTGACCATGATTCTTTCCTTCCGTCGATATAGTTTCGAGATTAGCAGGGAGCTTGTGATAACACCACTTTATATTTGAAGTCGAATCTCCTAATCCTCCACTCCCAAATGTCAAACTTCCGGTATGTGAAATTTGGCGCCGTCTTGTGCTATAGTCGATTGTCGCCGCTGCTTCATTCATGGTCGTCGCTGCTAGGGTTTCTTCAGACCTGGTGAAGTGGGAGTAAGAAGAAAAGGCGTAAATGTGATACGAGAGACAGAGTGTTTCGCAGGAGGGTAGAGAGGGAGAATTTTGCCAACGTGGAATTTCTATCGCTAGCTGGATCGAGGATATGTCCCGTTAACTGTATGATGGGGTACTAAAAACTCAAATAAATAAAGTAGGAGATATTTAATTCACACATAGAAGTTCAGGGTGAGGAAATAACACTTAACCAAAGTTCAGGGTATTTTATTTAATTTCCCCTTTTCATTATCATAAACTTTGTCACTATTTTTTAAATAAATAAAACTTAAATCCTTGTGTAATAGTAATACACAACTACTATAACAACAAATATAGTGTTCCATAATACTACGTACAATGTTTTTAATGAAACTCAAAATGTATTTAAGCTTAGATAAACATTAGATAAAGGCCATGTTTGGCACACAAAAGCCTCTGCCTTCTAGCATCTCTTTTCTTTAAAAAGACCTTAAAAGACTCTAGTTGTATGTTTGGCATGACATTTTTTAAGAGCTTTTCAAAAATTAAAAGATCTTTTTTGAGATGCTACCGGGTGTAGCATCTGAGAAAAGCTCGTGACTTTTAGTATTAATTAGTCCTAACAGCTTGTACACCAAACCGAACTAAATCAAACAGTCAGCTTTTTACCAAACAGCTATCACCTTTTCTTTTTAAGATCTTTTCAGTCACTAAAAGCTAACAGTTACTAAAAAGCTCACAAAAGTATCTTTTCAGCTAGTTGTGCCAAACATACCCAAAGAGTTTAGACTAATTGGCTTATGGGTTTTGGGCCCAGTCTAAGGTCCATACGTGTCCAAAATTCCAAACAATGACAATTGGGCCTTAAAGATTAACCAAGCCTGAACCTTGGCATTACTTATCGAGTCTTGCATTGACCAATGTGCCAAGGAATAGAACACTGAGAACACACGTCGATAGTATATACTAGACTACTTATCTTAACCTATTTTAATAAAGGACAGATTTGATATTAAATGCTCCTTATTCCGTTAAGTCCTTTTGAGCTACGCGTTATTGTAATGTTTACTCGGACCTATTCATGAAATACGTTAACGGTGTGCGCGTCTGTGATGCTAACGATAAAAAAATCGTTAGGTTAATATGGATTGCTCCTTTCTTCCTCCACAATACGTTTGTGAAGCTGGGGGGACATGGTTTTCCAGCCACCGTTCCAGAAGTTGGAGCATCCACATGAAGTTATTGCTCAATTATATTTCAGTTTCAGAATACTTAAACTCTTCCTCCCCCGCGTGTATAAATGGGTGATAGAGTATTAATTCTAGAGAGAAGTGGGAGCTAGAGAGAGAAAGTGAGTAATTATATTTCTCAACCCCTATAACTAGCCCCAAGGGGTCTATTTATAGGTAAAAATGTGGGTTTGGGCCCCTAGCCATGGGCTTAGGAGGCCCATTACAATAATCATGCCTTCTTTGGGCGAAATAGGGCCACTAATGGGCTGTGTACAATACTTAGTAAATAAAGTAGAGAGATGCATTCTGCCAGGGTGAACTGTGGCCGATGCGGCCCTTTGGCCGATGCGGTCCCATGGCCGATGCGATCCATGAGCCGATGCGGCCCCCCGGGAGTCCAGGCGTGCTTCCTGGGCCGGTTCGGTTTCTGGCCGATGCGGACCCACTGGCCGAAGGGGCCATGTGGATGGTGTTCTGGTCATCGTTGACTTGAGTATGTGGGCCATGGGGTCCAGGCCCATATACTCTATCAATGGGATTTTCTCTGCATTTCGCATCTTTTCACTCAGCTGGTTAAGAGCTTTGCATGTTAGTGTGCCATTCTTCTCTAACTTTTACAGCTTATTTGGTGCATTTTCTCCCTTGTGTTTGTTGTTTTGTTTTTTATTTGTGTTTCAGAGTGCATACATGACTGGTAGAATTGGATGCACTGATATTAACCTGGATAAGAAATATTTATATTAACCTCGATGCAATAAGGATTTCTTATAAAAAATTGCACTAGCTTGCGCGTGGCAGATGTTTGATACTTTTCCTAGGTCAAGTCAGTTGAAAGATTTGGGGTGCCTGTTGTGCTTGTCATATGCAGTTTGTTACAAATGTTTCTCTACAACATTGTTTATATACTCCATCTTAGATAGGTTAAGATTTAAGCCCACGGGTAAGTTAAAAAAAATGTTGATGACAGAGGGAATGCTCCTGGAAAAGAGGAAGTATTCAATGCCCTTCATCTCCCCCAAATTAAGTTTTTCTAGCAACAAACTTAATATTATGGAGTAGAAAAGAAACTATAAAAGTTATTTGTTCCAATCTGGTTGGACTACTGGAAACAGCAGCCCCTGCAACTCCTCCTTCATCAACATAATATTTGCTTTCTTATCACTATTGCTAGGTTTTTCCAGCCCACCATTTTTTTAAATAGGTGATGAACACCTCCCTAGCCTCTTCCATCTCTTTTTTAAAATGTGACTTTGTTCAATTTCTTCACTCTTAGGATATGATACTTATCCACGACTGTATAAAGTGCATAAGTGGACTTTATATGCGTGTGTGTGTATATATGGTAGGTTGTATGTTTATTTATTTGTGTATACAGTACACTAATCGCCCCATTAATTAATTACTCCATAATTTATATTAATAGTTAATGGTTAATGACTTTGGAATGGGATTATGTATCCCTGCTAACCGTTTTTTGATCCTGATAGAATAAGTTTTTTTAATAGCTAATAACTTTAATAGTTAATAGTTAATAACTTTAGAATGAGATTATATATTCCTTGCTCACCGCTGTGTTTGTGATATTCAACATCTAGGCGATGCTTTGGTCTGAAAAAACTTGCCATGAAAAACATGGCACTTATATTAAGGTAGTTAATAGCTCAGGCAGACCCCTTTTGTGATATTCAACATCTAGGCGATTCTTCGGTCTAGGAAAATTGTGGCGACAGAAAAACTAACCACCTTCTTAACAATAGTCTTGTGTACTTCTCGGATCATCGGACCTTCTTTCCATTTCGGCTTCAGGATCTCTTTGACTAACTCTATAAGAGCAATCTTGAACAACAGTGTAACCTTACCATCTTTCTTACCATTCACCTGTTCACGCTTACCAGTGACACCGACACTGTAAGGATTATTATTTTGTTGCTCATCCTCATGATCATTGGCAACAAGTCTATTATTTTTGTTCAGTTCTAATTTTGCACCACACTCCTGCTGCTTCAGACATTGATCCCCCAAATTTTCATCCCTCAGAATTTCTCGTCTCTTTTCTTTGTCATTTACTTCGCCTAGCATTTTCCAGGTTCCAGAATAAACTCAAACTCTCAAAGTAATCTAGGCACATTGTAACATAAAATAAAACTAGCTAGCGAAAATGGTTATTCTAATGTTTGGTTTCACCGTAGGAGTGTCCAGTAAAATGACCTTCAGGCATAACTTTTAGAATACTCTGTAAAAGATTTTGTTGTCTTTATACTCTGTAAAAAAAATAAAAAAAAATAAATAGGGTCGAACAAATAGCTTGAATCCATTAGTTTAGATCAAATTTCTTTTATTTAACCCAAATTTTCTTTCTAAAAAATTCTTATCACTTTTCTTTCTCATTTACTTCCCTAGCATTTTCTTGGTTCCGAAATGAACTGAAAATGATTTTTTGTTCCCCTACAAATTTCATTTTTTGGGTGCTTCTAAATAACCCTTTAGTTCATTATTTGATAAATAAACTCTTGTTAATATACTCTACTACCCATGACTAATAGCGACTACAAGAATGCCAAATAATGTGAGACAGAGCCAAACAGAATTAAAGTAGTGGTAAGTTTAGCATCACTAAAAGGGACATTGTTCAAAGTAAAAAAGGGACAAAATAAGCGAGGTTGAACAAATATCTACAATTCATTTATTCAGCTCGATTATTTTACTCCCCTCACCACATTTTCGTATCTCGGAATTTCTCATCTCTTTTTTCTAATTATCTTCCTCTGGCATTTACTGGGTATAGTACCAAAATGAACTCAATGTCATCTAGGCAAATTGTAGCATAAGAAATACTAACTAAGGAAAAAAATTGTTTTAATGTTTGGTTTCACCCGTAAAGTGCAGTAAAATTAACTTGGATTTTTTGAATTACTCACGTATGAAAATCGGAGTAGCTTTTAAATTACTGACATATTTTTTGAATATGGTGTTTTATTCTCTGTAAAAGAATTAAAAAAATGAGGTTGAACAAATATGTTGAATTGATCTGTTGAGTGTGAATTTCTTTTATGGCAGAGTTTCTTTCTCAGAATTTTCTTTCTCAGAATTTCTTGTCAGTTAACTTTCTCATTTACTTCCCCTACAAATTCATGAGTTCCAAAATAAGTAAACTCATGTTATTGCTATTACATTTAAGTTAAAGTAGCTGCAAAGCATAATATATAATAACTACCTAAGTGATTTCATGTTACATTTTAATCTGCCAGGATCATAATTGTTTTATGCTTTTAGTTTTCGTGCTATTATTTTGATTAGACGACCATTACTATAACCCCCGTTCTCACCAAACGGTTACACTTCGGATTATCTCATCACATGAATCATTCTGAAGTGTTTTTTCATCTTTTCCCGTATGTAAGCTTGTATTAGTAAAGGAAAAATCTTCTTAGCAAATGCTTAATGTCTGTTAAACGATCTCAAGATGTGTTTTTCCTAAAACTTATTCGTGTTATTGAACTTTAAATTTAAACTGTACACTCAATTAATTTTTTTCATTCACCTTTTATCCACGTTATGAACCCCCACTATTGTGTAAGCAGATATAATGATGAGTCTTCTAACAGGTGTCTTCAATAACTTTTCATAGTCGTTAATGCTGCTACAAACTTGCCCTAAATTTTAATTTGTTTGATTCAAATTTGGAATTTCCCATAAAAACTGAGTATATTCTTTTGCAAAAACACACAAGACTCACGTCTTGAATGCTTGATTCATCTGTAGTTGCATCTATGTTTATTGCAGGTGTGGCTTTAGCAACACGGTTTGACTCAGACCTGAAGCTGTATCCAAAATCTGAAAGAGCAACTCAATTGGCAGAATGGTAAACAAAACAAAACGCATTTTAATATTGTTCAAGACAACCTTTTCATGAAAATATTTGTGTATAACTACTGCACATATCACTTTTAGGGCTTTGTCAAATACCATTCAAATAAAGGCAACAATACTTCAGGAAGATTACCATGATTCTGCCTCTAAGTTATTTGACTTGAAGCCAGAACCCATAGTTCCAATTACTGATATGTTGCATGTGTCTGGCCAGGTGTGTTATATTATGATACTAACATATGATCCATTTTATATTACATTTTCAAGTTATTCATGTCTTGCATATGTACTTTGGAATACAATTAACACAAATAAATGAATCTAAAACATCATTGACTAAAAGAAACTAAGAAAAAGTAGTATTACTTGAACTCATAACCTGATATTGCCATTAATAAAATAGATCCCTAGAAATTAAAAGTGTCTAACATGTAGTTATTACGAGTCACATATTCCAGCTACTTAGGAACAAGATGTTCTGGTATGTTGTTAAAAAATGTTATGTAATTAAACATATTTGATTATAGTATTTCATTATAGTATAAGTTGTAAGGTCAACATGGACAAAAGGTCTTTTTGTGACTTCAAAAAATCAACTCTTGGAATTAAACAGTTTTAGCCCCCTGTTTATAATACTGATACGAGTAAGAATTTGACTTTATATTAACTAAATCAACGTCATAGTCAAGTCTACATGCAGAAAATCATATTTTATTAATTCGACAATATAACTTTTTCTATGATATTAGTTAACTTGTGCAATAAATTAAATATACAGGGAAGCATTTCCTGCATCGTTGCAAATGTCAAAATCAAAGAAGTTCCGTCCTTTTACTAAATCGCGTGCAATACATGTTGCAAAGCGACTGAAGAAGTTTTGAACGCAATCTTTCATTGTCGCAAATGCGGGAACCAGAAAAGCATTGCTAAGGCCAGGTAACAACTTAATATAGAATAATAAAACAATATATACTAATAACTGACTTATTACATCAACAGGTGCAACGTTCCTATAACAATAAATGATGGGGATAATGAGATCCAAACTGTACTCTTTGGAGCAATGGGAGAGGACTTGCTCGTCATGGATATACAAGAAATCATTGAAAAAGAAGCCCAGGTATATTCATTGCATTCAAGAAAATACCTCAATACAAAACCCACACCATTACACTGTTTTCATGCAGGAAGAAGGAATCAATGTGAAGGCAAAAAATGAGGTGATCCACGGTGTCTATTTTCGAATCAAAGTGGGTTACAGAAAGACTAAGTTCCACGGTGAAACAAAAACAGCGTACACAATCCTTTGCATGGAAGAAATTGAAGACACCTCAACCACCGAACACAGTGTCATGCCAAATACACCCACATCCTCTTCATTGAAGCGAAAGTTCAGCACCCCTACCAAAACTTCAGGAATTCCCGAAGAAGTGATACACACACCACCAACTCCAGCGAACAAAGATGGAAAACTTAAATCCATCCGCATTGAATGAAGATTCTGCAAGGAGAAAGGACTTTTTATTATGTTGAATAAAATAAATCCTTATTGATGCATATATAAGGATTTTACTGTTTGATTTATGCAATGAAACACTACAATATTTATTTCATATAATAAACCTTTTACATTTTATCTCTTATACTCAAACCATTACACTCATTCACTCATGTCTAAAACATTTACTACCATATTTGTCATTCTCAAACAACAATGTCTATAAATTATACCAGTACAAAACTACTCTAAAATATCGAACATGTAGCACACTTTATAACAATATATACTAAAAACAATCATTTCGAATTCATACTCAAAAGTTAAAAACAAATTCAACAACGTTTAGTATTGGGCATATTACATTCGCGCGTTGCGACCTTTGGGACCTTTGTAACGTTAATGCCTTTAACGTTAATGCCTATACATACCCTTTTTGGGACCTTTGTAACGGTGGAAAAATGAATGAATATGAAAAAATCACACTTTATCTCTAACATTCTAAATCTAATTTCTCTCTAGATTAACAAAAGGATCATCAGATCAACTCTATCAACAATAGGTATAAACTTAACGTTTATGTACAAAATTAATGAACTTTGAAGTTTTTTTTTCAATGATACTCGCAATGTTCTACAAATAAATGTTCGGCATAATAATAGGAACTACTCCGTATTATTACTAATAAATATTATTGCTATTACTTACTAATACAGAGTAAAAAAAATTAGTGGCTTGCAACTTGAACAAGTTATAAAATGCAGTCTTTGAACACATCTAGCACTCACTCAAGTAGCAACTTGGCTTTGCAAGTTTGCATGAATAACTTCACCTCTTAGAGAATTTAAAGGGTGCAAAGGTACTATTCTAGCTTGGTCCTTTCGTCGTGATTTTTATTAACTTTCTAGTTTGCCATCCCAATGTTATAAGCGGTTCTTCCGATTTCGATTAGGCCTGCGTGGAGGTGGTTTAGGTCTTGTAAGTTGTAACACACTATTCTCATAGACCATACGGTAAGATAGTCAGATTACTAGGAAGATTGAATTACAATCAAGTTTTTCTTAAAATTTACTTTTTACTTAATTTGAAATCATTACCATTTGTCTGAAGTGGAACGTGAAACACTCTTTAGGAAAATTACATTTGTACACAAAATTATAGACGGTGTATAATTTGTGTACAAATTTTGTGTACAAAAAGAATTACCCTATTCTTTATATCCATCCCTTCATATCAACTCAAATATGCCCGATCAAACCAATATATCAAGTCTTTATTCATAGCTAAGGTTTATAAGCACGTTGAATATACATCGTGGATTGGTCACAACTTACAACATTTAACGAATTGAATCTTCTAATTTTATAAAGGACCGCATACCACACCATGACTCGATAGTACGCTACATAAGATTTGGCACTACATCAAATTAAATTTACTTCACATTAGCAAATAATGTTGATGTTACAACACTTGACATATTTCCACATTTGATCCCCACCCAATAATACAACTAATTATATATAAACCATTTGTTGACTAAGAACATTAATATAAAAAACGTTAACATAAAATAGTTAGCTTGGTCACAACATGTGTCCACCTCTATGACTTGGGAAGAGGTTCCCCTCTCAAGAATGAACTCAATAATTGCAAAGCCGCCATAGGCTTGAACAATGGAACTTCATGTCCAGCCCCTCGTACTGTTGCAAAGGTTAGCCCTTTGTATACCTCAGTCCATCCTCCCACCTTTTCTCGAACAAACAAAAAACATTGAGAAATTGAAATTGTATTTAGTCAGAAGATGAATTAGTGAGTAAAAAACAAAAGTTTAAATTTTGAAAGATGAACACCCCATTTGGTAACCCTTATTTTCACAACCAATTTTTTATCAAACAAGTAGCTTTTGATTTCATGATTAAAATAAGTAATATCAAATTATATCAATTTTCTTTACTACCCTTATACTATGGTATGATGATGATAGCACACTGCAACAGTGTCAAAACAATTTACTCTACATTGTCAAATAATGTATAAAGCTTATTTTGGGAATTCAAAGGGGAAAAAATATTTTCTAATATGGGTGACTTCAAAGTGGAGCTTTTAAATAGGGACGGAGGGAGTAGTATACTTTAACTATATTTCTTTTTCAAAATTCACGAGGTTCGACCAATTGATCCTTCAAATTTTAATAGATTTAACTGATTTTAGTGTAAGAAAACGGACTCCAATTCAAGATGAGGGGGACTAACCTGTTTTTTGACATACCAAGGGTACCATGGAGTTGAGACGAGCAACTTGAGTTGTGCAAGCGAATAACGGGTAGCAGTTACGGGTACCACTGAATCCACATCACCGCTACAATTTTTGCAATTTTGTATATGTTACCAGTATAATGATTATATATAAATGTAACACAATTGTAATCTAAAGTATAGCTCAGTATTATGATTTTTACCTGAAAACCCAGATTCTCAAGCCAGCTTCAATTAGTTCTCGGTAGATCGGAAGTATGGAATCAGCAGTGTCATTCCAGTTCCGATTTAGCGTTTCACTACAATTAGATGTGTTTTAATTACAATCAAATTTACTCGCAATAATTTCAAATGCATCATGATTCATGGTCCATGAACAGACATGTATAAATCTTAGCTTGTTGATTTGAATGGAGTATCTTTTTACACTGAGAGATATCATCAAATATGAGTAAACCAGTTCATTTTTCCTTAGATAGAAATACAATCGCATACAAATACTACCGTTGACTAAACTCAATATCTAATTCGTCTTGTGAAACAAACCTTTTTAAAATCACAGGGAAATGAATGACACTTTCTAAGTGAAACACATATACACTAAATATTAATAGAGCATAGGAGCACTTAAGCACTTCAAGCAAAATCTTAAGTGAATGCAAGTTTAAGAGTCTTTTGAACTTTCTTTACAAAACCTGTTTAGTTTTGTGCACTTGCCTGTACTCATTACCATTTGCTTTCATTTTAAAAGTACTCCACAAATAAAGACAAAATCTTCCAAATACAATTTACCGCACTCACATTTTGTGTATCTCGAACCTATGTTGCACGAAAATGTATGAATCACGGAGAAACGTGAAACAAGAAATGTATCGTTCAATCGATAAACAAGTGTTTGGAGAGTTTCCCTAAATTTTTTGAAATGCAAGACGAACTCTATCTTGATTCTTGAGAGTTTCCGTGTTTCATAGTTTCCAACAGATTCTACACAGAGTAATAGATGTATGTAATGTTAAGTTACTTATGGTGAATTACGTACCTGCAAGCAGTCCATTTATATGGAATGCGAGTGGTGTTGGCATGCATCGCTTTTTGGACCTCGGGACGGTTGTAGTAGATCTCTGCATACTTCTCAGTACACGGATCATAACCTCTGTATGTTGCTGCGGCGGCGGCGGGACGAGGTTGATGAGGAAGCCGCGTGTGGTGACGGGTCGACGACGAGCCATCGGAATGGTTACAGGGAGGAGCGTAGATGTTGTACTGGTCGATGTTTCCGAACTCCCGGTCCATGGCATAGTAGTAAAGAGATTCACACTCGTCGGATTCTTTGTGTCGTCGGAAATCACAGGTGTTCACCAGCTGCCGATAAGTCTTGTCGGAGATCATGGCATGGCTCCACCAGTACTCCACCGTCCCCAGGTTGTCGTAGTAGTTGTCCGTAACTGCATTCCCCACCTGCATGAATCCATGTTACATTCATATGTAGTGGAGTATGAAGTATTGAAGTATAAACTTATATTTCGCGAGAAAATTGTTTAAATAAGAGTAGAAACATATTACTCCATATATGAGTGTAGTGTTTTTCTTAAATAGAAGTCATCCAAAAATGTGTCAGTTATAGCATTAACATTGCCATATAAAAGTTTGATAATATCAAAATATGACACTTAATTTTAGTACGGAGTATGACATAATTATGTTACTTCTATTGGAAAACGTAACTCCCTTTTTGGGCAAATTGATGAATGTAGATATAATTACCATAAACCCTTTGATCTTAATGGGGGTTTTGGGATGGGCAATATTGTTATAATGCACAATCTCTCGAGCCAGCTGAGGGACATAGTGACCGGCGTAGCTCTCTCCGGCAAGATACACGTCCCGGCCTTTGTACCACGGGAACCGATCCATCCACTTTATGAGGAATTGCAACGAGTCCTTTGCTGAAACAAATCAAATTCCATTTAATCATTAATCATTATTACACACTTCTATAGCCCAATTTTGTACTCCTTATAAGACAAGCATTTCGATTAACAAAAATGTTGTTTGTACCTACCCTTATATCCATTTTTATACCCATCATGTTTGTTGTGTAATGCTTTTTTTGTCTGTGAATCTCGTTTTGGCTAGGCCAGATTTCGATCGACAAGGGAGGATCAACTAGAGTGGTACCGATGGTACGGCCTCCCTCTGAACCATCGCCATGGGTTGATCGAGGTGGTAGGGTTCGTGAGAGTTTTCCAATTAGTTAATACTATTTTGTCATTTGATTTCTTGTTTTCGTCTATGTCGTTAGGTTTGTCAATTTGTTTGGAAATTCAGCCTTTTGTATGTCATTAAATATGTTTGGATCTATGAGAATAGGGATGGATGTGCCAAACCCGCTACATGGTTAGCGATTCGTGTTGCTTTTTCAGGGGTGACCGTCTCTAGGTCTGATCATAGGGTTTGTAGTCGTAGTTGTTAGAGTTTAGTTAGTGATATAATTGTTTTTTCTTTGATTGATGTAATGATCCTGAAATTTATGATATATATGAAAGAAGGTTAGTTGATGTTCGAAAAAATATGTAACCTAGTCTCTAATGTTTAAGTCTAGTACACTATGGAGTCCAACTCAATTCAGATTTCTTGAACTGTCCCCCACGTCTAGATAACTGCCGGGGAGCTAGAAACACCATTATTTGGGCACTTAAAGTCTCATATCCTATTATCATAAAATGAGTACACGTTTTAAAAAATTTAAAAACAGAAATGCTAGTATAACCGTTT